CTTAGGGTAACATCTGTCCGGTTTATTCTCTTCTTGGTCCAAAGTACAAAGAACAAACTACAGCTCTAGATAAGTGTGTTGTATCCTAAATGCTGATCTCTGAGTTTCTTGGATATAGGGCTTCCATTTGTGCATGTCTGGATTAAGCGAGACTGCAAGTGAGACATGAGTTTATGTGTTCGTGCAGCTCTTTAGAAAATGAGATACTTACTTTAAGACCTTTTAGTCTGAACTAAGCTTGATGATTTACATAGCCTAGTATAATCCATCCTCTTAAAATTGTGTATGTGATATGACTTCTGAGATTATATCCTTATCGCTGCATTAATCCAAATACTCAATAACACGTGCTGCATTGAGGGCTGGAAAGATCAACTGCATTGTCGCAATATAATCCTGCCTTGGAACTGGATTGGGAATAGAAGTGTAACTGCTGGCTGAATTAAAGAGCAGCATCACATCTTTGTGTGCTAAACTCAAGCTCAGAATCCAGGCTTGCTATTCTCCTTACTTTACCATGGGAATGATCTTCCTGTAGGAACAGGACTAAGCCTGCCTTGCAAGCCAAACCACCCCTAAAAGCCACTTAGAAGTTTCCATCGAAGTACTTAAGCAAAATGCTCCACTAGCATTTCAGGGCACAGAGAGTCAACAAAATGCTCTTGCATCTCTCTTAGAGTAATCTAGATGGACTTTCTGGTGTCTTCTATGTCTGAATCAAAGCCCTGATGAAGGAGATTCCCTCAATACACCTCCATATCCACGACCCACCCAGGGGCAACAGCAACAGTTGAGGTTCTGCACTAGGCATGATGCCAAGGACCTTGGGAGAGCTTTTATTCAAATTTAGCCAGATGGTAGGGGGGAAAAGTGGTCATGTTGTTATTGCTTACTTGAATGACCCTGCGACAGCCGACATGGCTGTCGTGAGGTAACCTTAATTTAAATAATCACCCTGCTTAGCAAGTCACGCCGACTGCTGCGATCCAAAGTCCCCGTCGTTCCTGTTATGTCAAACAGATACGCATGTTAGATCCAAGCCTGAGTAAAAAGAGATGATGGACTTGCTTAATAAAGAGTTATTTTTGAGAGACAATCCTGAGAAATTGCTATTTTTAAACTCACTTCTCAACCCATGTGAGGAGCAAGAACTCTGAGAGTAATCTTATATGGCTCCTACGTCTTTCTCGTGCTCTTTTCAAAAGAATTAAGTGATGCTTGTCACAAGACTTTACTTGTTACTGATGTTGCGAGCTTCCTAATCTGCTGTGGAAGATCCAGGACAAGGAGAATATCGGTTCCTCGTTGTGGTGTATGTGCTGTGTTTCTCCAGTTTTCTGTGTGTGGGAAGAATGCATAACCTGCTGTCGGAGCATTGGCTGATGCTGTGCTGTTATTTTAAAGGTCACTCCAGTAATTTTGTGCTTGTCGTTTAAAAAAAAAACAAAAAAAAAAAACAAAAAAAACCAACACCTCAGAAGACCAAAACAAACTTTTAAATTATGCATATAACAGATTAAAGGAATTGCTATTCTCTGCTCATTCTTTTAGGGAAACAAATGTTTTCTCTACTGTCCCAGCAACCGTGAGAGAACTGAGTTGGGCAAGTCCAAGGGTTGGACTCTGAAATTTTCCCTTGAATAACTCTCCTGAAGTTCCTATTCAAGTGGTTTTGAAAATCTTAACATTGCTTTTGTACTTTGTTTTGAGACAGTGACACCCACAAAACTAGAGAGAGATGTGTGTCACAAGAAAAATGCAACTGGAAGAGAATGAGGAAGAGGTGGTGGCAGCATAAGGAAAATCAGTGACTTTGAATTTAAAATCAACTTATTTAGAGCAGCATTTCAAATCTTACTCTTGAAAAGAGATAAGCACTGGTTTATAAAATTACTTGAGATCTGTAAGGAAGGGGAGATCTGAGGAAAGAAATGAACTTTTTAAATACAGCATTCCAATGGTGAGGTATTGATGATAGAGTAATTAAACTAAAATCACTACAACTAACAGTCTTTGTTTTTCTTTTGTCTTTCTTTTTCTTACCCCAACCCTATACCAAATCCTTTCTGCTCCTGATGCTTCGGGGAACAGCAGGAGCCAACCAAAGGTAAGGGCTCTTATTGCATGTTAAATCAGTGTGTTAAAAATTGTCGTATCACTTATTCAGTCTTGGGTTATCCAAATATTAAAAGCATTTCAGAAAACAGCTCTGTAGTTCATCAGCTGTTGAATAAGAAACTCAAAGCATCTCCTTGCTGCAGAAGAGCACTATATAGCCTGTGCCAAAAAATGAGTCAGAGGAACAAATGAGAACATACATACTCAGCATTACAGACTGTGAATGGAAGATTACTTGTTATTTGAATGCTTTTAAAGGCATTTTCTGGTGTTTGTGTTAAAACAAAATCATTTTGTCGTTACAGCTTATGATCCCGTGACTCTATTCTTGATATGCAGATATCTATCTATCCTAGCATAGCAAGATTCAGTTTTATTCATAGAATCATAGAATGGTTTGAGTTGGAAGGAACCTTCAAGATTCCAACCCCCCTGGCATGGGCAGGGACACCTTCTACTACACCAGGTTGCTCAAAGCCTCATCCAACCTGGCCTTGAACACTTCCAGGGATGGGGCAGCCACAACTTCTCTGGGAAACCTGTTCCAGTGCCTCACCACCCTCAGAGGGAAGAATTTCTTCCTTAGATCTCATTGAAATCTCCCCTTTTTCAGTTTAAAGCCATTGCCCCTTGTCCTATCACTACAGGCCCTTGTCCAAAGCCCCTCTCTAGCTTTCTTGTAGCCCCTTTAGGCACCGGAAGGCTGCTGGAAGGTCTCCCCAGAGCCTTCTCTTCTCCAGGCTGAACAGCCTCAACTCTCTCAGTCTGTCTCCATAGCAGAGGTGCTTCAGCCCTCGCATCATCTTCATGGCCTCCTCCGCTCCAACAGCTCCATGTCCTTCTTGTGTTGCGGACCCCAGATCTGAACGCAGCACTGCAGGGGAGGGTCTCCTGAGAGCAGAGCAGAGGGGCAGAATCCCCTCCCTCCATCTGCTGCCCATGCTGCTTTGGATGCAGCCCAGGACATGGTTGGCTTTCTGGGCTGCCAGTGCACATTGCCGGCTCATGTTGAGCTTCTCTTCAACCAGCACCCCCAAGTCCTTCTCCTCAGGGCTGCTCTCAATCCATTCTCCGCCCAGCCTGTACTTATGCTTGAGATTGCCCCAACCCACGTGCAGGACCTTGCACTTGGCCTTGTTGAATTTCATGAGGTTCTCACAGATCCACCTCTCCAGCCTGTCCAGGTCCCTCTTGATGGCATCCCTTCCCTCCAGTGTGTTGACTGCACCACACAGCCTGGTGTTGTCAGCAGACTTGCTGAGGTTTGCAGGCTTAATTTGTATGATGACTTCAAAGAACAAAAAAACTTTAATCTTAAATAAACAAGCTGTTGTTTCCTCAATTAGAGGATGTAAAATAACAACTTTTATCTCTCGATGCTGGGAAATTAATGTAATGTAGGAAAACAAAAAGAGCAATGTATTTTTGAAGGTAAGTTATTTAGATTTCAAGGATTTTACTACACTCGTTTTTATAAACATAGGTAGTAAGTTTGGATATGTTGGTAGAATGGATTTTTGACTCTTGCATAATTTTTATAATTATTTTAGTTAGTATAAATCCTTGAGGAAGATTTGCTCTATTTCTCTGTAAGCCCTTAAATGATTTTTCAGATTCCATCGTATGATCTGTTAGGAAATGCTATTATTGAGGTAATTCACTACAGACTCAGTATATCTTTTTAGGGTTTTCTTGTTATTAATATAGATCTGGTGCAACATGTTTTGTTCCTACAGTCTTTACTGGTTAAAAAATACAGTGTTTGATTACCTATGCAGGTGCTTATTCATGGTTAGTGCCTTCAGCATATAGACCACAGACTTCACTAAAATGGAACATGAAAATGTGTTAACAGACAGAATGAAATTTTTAGAAAAAATGGAATGAAGGTTCTGAAGGTGGATGTGAGATGCTGACATGTGAGATGCATTTGCTCTGCCAACAGCATCTGAAGTGATGCAAACGTTACCTGCATAGCAATGCAGAACATCTAGAGGGGAATGAGCAGCCTTCATTAAGCTTAGGGGGGAAATAAACAGCCAAAGAGCAACACACTGCATTTCCCTTTTCTTATATCCTACAGAGCAAATTTTGCCTGTGTGAATCTAGGTCAGATATTATCCAGATAATTTTTTTTCTTACAAATACGTATCCAGGTGAATTGTTTTTACAGATTCCTGTTTTTGCAGCCTGAGGTTGCAAAATATGCAATATGTCTTATTGCAGATCAGCTTTCCTGATGAAAGGTGCCTGTAGACCTTTAAATGGATTTACCACAGAATAGAACCTTTTCATTTTAAAAAGATTATAGTGCTGCTCTTCTCATGGTAAAACTCATTTGCTCTATATTGTTCTTTAAAAGTATTAGACTTTGGTGACGACTGCTTCTGTTTGTCAGCAGTATATAAATACATTCTTCTCTTCTACGGAAAGAGGTTCCTATCCGAAGGCATGTTTTTAATTTATGCAGAGGAGATACCGGGAGAAGGTAGGCAGCAGCAGCCAGGGGACATCTGTCAGTTTGCAAAATAGAAAGTCTGTGAAAAATGAATTGCAAGGATGGGTTCAAAGGAAGATAAGGAGAGCTCCTTGACATCCACTGCTTTGCCACATGGAGAGCTTTTGGAGAACACGGAATAGGATTCACACAGTAGAAAGGAAGAAATAAAAACAAAGAACAAATAAAAGCAAGGAACAGACTTGCATATAGGAAGATGTGATGTTTATTTAGACTTCAAGCTCATAGAAAATAAGTAATTCTGTGGGAATGGCCCCGAGGAGCGTGATGTTAGCCAACATAATGCAGTGCTGTCAAAATTTGGATAACGTGTTTGATTTTGCAACCGTTTTTATAACGCGTCCTCCTGGTTATTTTCCTACAGGTGTTTGCTTACGATCACTGCTTTTGGTCTATGGATGAATCTGTCAAAGAAAAATACGCAGGTAATGTTTACTGTAGCTTTGTGCTTGTTATCTCCAAGTGTGAAGGATCTAATTAAAATACAGTATTTGCTAAAGGGCACAGACCATATGGCACGAAGTACCTTCCCCTGTGTGACTGCTAGTTGTCAAAATAAAAAGGAAAATCTTCAATCATTCCTGTTTCTCTTCTCTAAAGTTGATAATTGCAATAAGCGTACTCATCTGTTTGCAGTGTAGGAAATTGAGAAATCCATCATAATAATGGGTTACTCATATTTACATCTTTATTTAAAATACTGTTCCGAGTTCGTCATTTTCAAAGCATCAAATCTGTTTCTTTTCAGGATTAGAGGAACATTGCTATATGTAATTTCATGTTTCATGGTGCTGATGGGGTTTTGGCATCATATTAGAACTTAATAATGGAGTATTAAAAAAAGCCTAATTTAATATAGGGATATGTGAATTTATATGGTCTGATGAGAATGTGTAATGTATTGAACTAAAAGATTTCTTTGTATTATTAGGACACATTTTGGCAAATAATTATGGTAAAATATGAAATATATTTGGACTTACCACTCTTGTGATCTATTCCTTTCATACTCATTATCTCTTAAAACTGAGAATCAGTTACACTTGTTTGCGTTTACTTTTTAAAATATCACAAGAAAAATAAAAGATGCATATGCTCCTAGGTTTTAATTTCTCTAACAAATAACTAATGAATAGTAATTTAGTGAGGAATTGAGAAAACCATGACACTCTCAGTCATACAAATTAGATAGGAAGGTAAATTTTTTGTTTCTCAAACTAGTGGAGGCTCCTACATCACTTATATTATGGTCTGTTATGCATTGGAAGTGTTTGGTCCAAAACCATTCTGCTGTGCTTAGCTAGACACAGCTATTAGTAATTTTGATGGGGAATTTCTAAGTGGGAAGACTCTGAGTGGACTTGGATGTAAAGATACGGACTTCAATCAGTGAGAGGAAGGAAAAGCTTTCAGGAACATTAACGTACTTGAGAGGACTTTTCAGACCATGAAGTTCTGTCATGTCTTTTTCAGACTTTAGTTCCTCCACTTGTAAAAGAAATTCTGAAAATAGAGGTTTTGTTTAAGTAGAGAATACTGAAATATATTAAACATTTTTACTCCTCTTGGAAAAGGAGCTGAAAGCTGTTCCTACAGATTTAGTTCAATTACAAAAGAAGTTACATATGCTATATTTTGCTAATGCGTATCTTGTACTGTGCTGTCTCCCACATAGTTGTGATTCGTTCTCTGCAAAAATCTCCTCATGGTGTCATTTAATATCTTATACAGTAAAATTCTCTAGTTCTCTACTAATCGCCTTAGATTAAAATCAACTGACAGGTGTTAAAATGTACAGGTTGAGTGTTTGAGGTGGCGGTTTAATCCACCAATGGATTAAATTCTGCAGTTGGTAGTAGGTTTTTTTGCTGATAAAACTTCTGAATGTGAACATGGATAGGGTGTATACAGGTATATGCATGATAATCTCAGCTTCTGATTTTTACAGTAGCATAAACCTGGAGCACATCTAGAGGCTGATGGTCTTGCCCCTGTCGAGGGAGCAAATACTGGTTGCTATTTAGGCAACAACAGCAGGAAAACACTAACTGCTTTTACATAATTATTGAAGAATACAAATCAAGGGAAATAATACCTCTTGCTTCATTGCAGTGTTAGCTTACGTATATTATTTCTTAGGTCAAGATGTTGTTTTCAAGTGCCTTGGAGAGAATATTCTTCAGAATGCCTTCGAAGGCTATAACGCTTGCATCTTTGCCTATGGGCAAACTGGTAAGTCCCTTCTGACTGTAAGCAAAAAATATTGTTGAGGCAAAAGGTGCTACGTTCTGACTGGAGACTCTTTTCACGGCTGTTGTGGCATTCTTCCAAGGAGAAGTGCCTTGGAATGCAGATAAGAAATTTTCTTCTCTTTTGTAACATTAGATATGAGGTGGACAGGATGAGAAACAGGATTTTATCTGTTGCTGCTGGCTACCCGTATTTCTCACACTTTAGATTTTAATCTTTGGAATGATCGTGTTCGTCCTTGAGTGCAGTGCGTCACTCTTGTTTTCTACCTCTGCAGTTAGAATAATCTTTAATCATTATTTTAAATGTAATATGCAAAAATGAGTATGCTTATGCAACTAATTTTTCTTATTTTGGCACATATGTGGATGTTAGTGGGTTGTCTTCTACAGTATGACTGTATCTACCTGCAAAATTCTTCTCTGTCAGTTTGAACAATTTCTTGTTCTGCTTTTCCTTTTAATTAAATAGTCTTTAGCAAATTCATGTTTTGGTTACTTTCAAATAGAAAACCACACGAGGATCTTTCACGGAAATGCAATTTTTTTTTTACTTCTCTATTTCCTTTCCATGGTCTGCACAGCAAGAAACTCTGTTGAATGTACACTAATTATAGATTCAATCACACAGGATCTGGGAAATCATACACAATGATGGGAACTGCTGACCAGCCTGGATTAATCCCTAGACTTTGCAGTGGACTTTTTGAAAGAGCACAGAAAGAGGAAAATGAAGAGCAGAGTTTCAAAGTGGAAGTATCTTACATGGAGATATACAACGAGAAAGTCAGAGATCTTCTTGACCCAAAAGGGTAAGTAATTTGTGTGAAGACAGCACTGTAATATGCTGTTAAACACTCTTCCTTTCCATAACCAATTTACGTTAATGGATCCCATCTAAGGCATTTGCGTAGGATGGCTTTCGCTTCTTCCTGATCTCAGTGTCTTTTCATTTTAAATCAAAATAAAGTAGTAAGACTAAAAGCTTGGAGTAAACTCACCCTAACGCTAGCTTTTATGAAGTGACAAAAATGTCTGTGTCACCATTTTACGTGTAGGCATAAGGCTTTTTTGTTTGCATTATAGTCCTTGTTCTGTGCTTTATTATGGTATTTGTGAGACTGTCATGTTTGAGATCTGTCAGTGAGAAATTGACTTTCTATAAATGTTGTCTTAGGTCAGTCATGTGCTTATAAATGACTTTTTTTTTCCAACCAGAAGCCGTCAGACATTAAAAGTTAGAGAACACAGTGTTTATGGTCCTTATGTAGATGGCCTATCCAAACTAGCTGTTGCTAGCTACAAGGTAAGGATCAATTTTATGAAAGGTTTGTGTTGACATCCTAAACGCTAGGGTATTGTCCTTTAATAAGGACAAAATTATTAACCTACTCTTAATTACCATGGCAGTAACAAGGATTTTAGAGCAAGAGAGCTGTAGGATAGTTGTATTGTGATCTCTGGGGAGAACAAGGTTAAGAGCAGAAACTCATCTTCATCCTATACTATTCAATAATTCTAGAAGTAATTCAACAATGTAGTGTAACAGCATTCCTCCCAGACTTAAGATGACTGTACACTATATCCATGAGAAAGTGTTCTGTATTACAGAACTGGGATTTAGCAGAAATGGGCTTTCAGTACCACGCTTGGTCACTTTTTGGCTGTCATGCTATTGTCTATTAATTTCACTTACCAGTAGCACACAGGCACACTGGAACTATAAACTAATGGTTGTTTACAAGGCAAAAACTTGAGAACATTGCATGAAACTTGCTTACTGGATGGTAAATATTTTAATATGCATTCACAAAGTGCCCAAAAAGCATTAATGTACTGTAGGAGAAATGAGTAAATATGGGATGGAATTCTCTCATCTTAAACAAAACATTAAAATGATGCAGTCCTTCCTATTGCACTTTCACCAGGTGTTTATCTGCCTCTCTTTGGTGGTTTCTGTTAAGACAAGACACATTGCATGATTTTTCTTTACATGTTGCCCAGCAGCTTTGTGTAATACAGCATACAGAGTCGAAGTGGTCTGTGGTGGTCTTTTGTTTCAATGTTTCTTGAGGTTTTTTTAGCATCATCCCACTAGAAATGCATAAATAAAAGTTAAGCCCAAGACTCTAAAGTTTGAACTATTTTTACAGGATTGCTGTAAAACCTTGAAGCAGGGGGGCTGCCTGTTTCTCAAGTATTACAACTTAACGTGTCAGAGGACTTTATAAGCTCATGTATGTAGGAGGAACATAATGACCTGTTCAGTATGGCTCTGTTTTATAAAATTTTGAGCCTTATGTCATTATTACAGATTTCAAGAATGTGTGTTTGACAACTGAGGCTAAAATGTTAGTGTTCAAACATGAATTGCTGTTTCCTCACTTTTTCTTTGCTTTTGAGTATTGCTGTGTGCAGTCAGGTGCATTATTTCTGTTGATAATGCAATATCTTGGTAGAGATAATGGATGAATATACATGTCACAACATTGTGTTAATCTCTAGTCTTCAAAGGGGAGATCACAATATTTTTTTCTCACACTTCATGAATAAACAGTGGGAAACTTAGTGGGAAAATAGTTGCTATGTTTTACCAAAATGACATTGTTTTGGTAGATAATTGAAAAGAATGTTAATGCAGATATGCTTATAGCTGTAAAAATTGTATCTAGGACATCGAGTCCTTGATGTCTGAGGGCAACAAATCTCGAACAGTGGCTGCAACCAACATGAATGAGGAGAGCAGTCGATCCCATGCAGTCTTCAAGATTATCCTCACCCACACACTCTATGATGTACAGTCAGGGGTAAGTAGAACAAGTTACAAGGTCCAAACGTTAAGCCTGGATCTGTCTCTTTTGCTCTAATGTATTTCACAGACTCTTAGAAATGTTGGTTGGAAGGGACCTCAGGAGGTCGTTTGCTACAGTCTCCTGCCCTTGTGCACTGCTAGCATTGGATCAGGTTAGCTGTGGCTTTGTCTAGCTAAGTCCTCATAATGCTCATGTGCTTGTGCCCCGAAAACAATTTTAATAGGTTTGTATGTGAAATATGTTTTTTGAAATGGAAAGCAAAAGTGCAGGCCCCAGGTTGCAGCAGACTTGCTGGAGAGTGCAGGAAGAATCTCCTAATCCTAGAATCTAAACTGAAGAAACACTTCTTGTTAAGCAATAGTGTGTAGTAGAGACTTGGAGCAGAAACTAAATGTATAATGTGTAGATGAAAAACAGAAGAACGCCTGAGTATACATCTGGTAATCTCCTTCAAGGGGTTATTGCATGCAAATATGTATAAATGATTGACTTTATAAATAGAAACATTAATTTCAAAACTTTTGCATTGTACAACATTAATTTAATATTTTTATATATGTATAAAAATATCTAAAAGATATTTAAATGTGAAAGTATTTTTCTTTACTTTTCCTTATATGTAAGTATTCCCGGGAGGGAGATGTAAAATATGCTTATGTTATATTGTTTAATCCCTCACAGAAAACGGTGATAAACTAAAATTGAAATAGATCTCCCATACCAAAACTCTTTAGGCTTAGTTGATAAATTCTGTGTTTGGGCAATTCTTTAATGTCTTCAAAGCCTTGGAGAAATTCTTAGTGTCCACAGAGCTAATCTAAGGCATGTATGTGCCTAAATATTGAATACAATGTAAAGCATAATGAGCATTTGGATTTTTTTCCTCTTCATTTCTCGGTCTCCACTGCTCTTCTTATCTACATTTTCCTTGATTTTTATTTGTTTGGGTTTTCTCCCCCTATGCACTTCAAATCAGCAGTCATACCATGCTAAACTCCTTGATTTTGCCATAGTTTGCCATTCCCTTTTTCTTGTGGCTGTACTGCATACTTATCATATGTATTTTTTGTGTGGCCATGGTCAGCCTTGGTGCAAGGTGGTAGTTCTGCTTCTGTGTCTTTTCTGCATCTTCCAGTGACCATTGTGTGGGTTTCTGAAGCAGGTTTCTCTGTTTTCCCATCTGCTGGTCTTTTCAGTCCTGGAAATGACATGTTTCTATATGGCCTGATGATCACACTATGGTTTTTTGAGAGGCCTAGAGTAATGTTTTTGAAAGCATATCGATTCTAATGATCCTGTTCATTTAGAAGGATGTAGCACTTTGCAACTGTGATACTGAGATACTAAAATCATAGATGCTGCAGAAAAGCATGATGTAAGCAAACTGTCCTCAAAGACAGCGTTAGCTCTTCATGAATTTTATGTCAATTTGAAGTTCAAGTTTTTCAAAACGTCACTTGAGTCAAATGCAATAAAAGGATTTATAACAAAATGTGTGCTACAGGATTGAAGTGCTCGCATAGCTAGGACGGCTTTTTAGGAGGCTGTTAGGATATAGGAGACTTCTGCAATTGTAATCATTTTGATAAATTATAACATGCTTCTTGTCATGTTTGTTCTTACGGAAACCTGGTATAAAAGGTTGATAAAACAAAGGCAGAGCTTCTGTCTGTCTTTGTGACACCTTGACCTGTACTCCCTCTGCATATGTTCTTACTTTAACATTTGACTAGTGCGCCCCGTGAGATTTCTGGGATGTCTTGAAGATATAAGTGTATCTTATTTCACTTCAAATCCTGCTGTTGTTTCTGGAACAGCAACTAGTGAGTTATCACAGAATATTGTTCAACTACTATGACTTTCAAAGTTGTTGGAATAGTTGTAGAGAGACTACACCAAGAAATGAAGCTTGATTCTTGTTTGAAAATACTATGTAACTTAAATTAAGTGAACTAACAGTAGCTGTTCTCTGTTTCCTTCTACAGACATCAGGTGAGAAGGTGGGCAAGCTGAGTCTGGTGGACTTAGCAGGTAGTGAAAGGGCAACTAAGACTGGTGCTGCAGGAGACAGGCTGAAAGAAGGAAGCAACATTAACAAGTAAGAAGAATTGGTGATTATTTCTTTTTCTTTTTTTCATCAGTAAAAGCATGACTGCTAAATACACAATTAAATACTCATAAAATATGTTGAAGTCAGTATAAGCTCTTGTAGCCAGTTTTCTTCTTCCCTTATCTCTACTTTTTCTTCAGACATACAATACTCTCAGATGTTTGAATGAAATCTCAGCCTATTTAAAAATATTGGGGTTTTTTCATTCTGTACTTGTGTTCCTGCAACTACCACATAATTGCGTTGTGAAGACATGACTATTAAAGCTGAAAACCTATACTGAAAACAAGGAGTAGAGCTTTTGTGACAAAAGAATGATCAAAACTGTACTAGGATCTTTCTCCTCGGAGCTCATTTTTTGAGTGAAAAAGTGTCTGTCTAAATATGCATTTGACTTACGAGTGTTTACCCTTGTTAATGGCTGCTTGTGTTCTCTGTGCAGATCCCTCACAACTCTGGGGCTGGTTATTTCTGCCCTGGCAGATCAGGCTGCTGGCAAGAACAAGAACAAATTTGTTCCTTATCGTGATTCAGTGCTCACTTGGTTACTTAAAGTAAGTTCTCTGATCTTGGTTTTATTTTAAAGAGAAATAAAAAGGGGGAAAAGGGGAGAAGAGTCCCATTCAATGAAATAAAACGCTCTTCTTTTGCCTCATTTTCTGGTTTTGGTGTTAACCATAATTGCCTTTGGAAAATTAGCTGGATGTAAGCCATTAGTATCTCTACAGACTAAATATGTTCCCTGTGTTTTCTGCTGACCTATATCGACCTGAAGAATAAGTAACTTAATGCTTTTTGTTTTAATTTTTTTCTTATCTTTTATGGGTCAGTTTACATACAGCTTCACACACAACCTTGGGGTTAATTTAATTTGGACTATTGCCACACGCAACTGAATTTTTCATACTGGCATGGTTAGCTTTGAAGAGTTTAATTAAGACTATTACCTTTTCCTAATTGTCTAATATGTTTGTTAATATAGTCTACTTTTGTCAGCATAGTATAATTTCAGAGCATTATCCCAGTTACAATCTGAAGAACAGGTCAGAAGACTTTGTACATCATATTCGTGTGAAATGAGCAGTTAAATCATTTTCTGTACTGCATAGGACTCTCTTTGATATTCTTTGGGGGAGGAAGAAGAGTGTATCATTCATGATGGCACTTGGATGAAGATCTTTAAGGTCTAAATGAAAAAACAAATTGTTAAATACGAGTTTTATGTATGTCAAATTAAAAGGCAAGCTTTTGGTTTTGTTCTTCTTTCCAATTTCTGGATACAGTGGCTGCAAAGCATGCTAGTCTGATGACAAAAAGTCCTGGGAGTGCGAGTTTGACTTTAGGTGTAGTCATCATCTGGATTTCTGCCGTTCTCTGAATGAGTGGCAAAAAGCTTGCCTGCTAGTAAAGGTGGCTTGTCTTTCTTTTTCTTAACTTGCCTGGTACAGCTTGAGTGGTCTTGGTTGACTTGGATTTTGAAGGATTATTGAATTAGGTGTAGTGTGTAGGTGACTTTAGTTTCATTTTTGTAACCTGTCAGTTTGTTAAATTTTTTCTTTTTTATCATTTGATTGCCACAATGCTTCATAATCATGTCTTGTGGAAATACTAACTTAGCAAGTTTCCTTTTTTTCCCCTTGTGCTCTGTTTTATTGTCATCAAGGAGCCACTAAGATATTTGTTGCTAGAAAGACATAATCTGGGAGGAAACTGATTTTTGACACCACCAGCCTTTTTTTATCTTCTTACTTTTGTAGGAGCTCTGGCTAATTTTGTCATCTTGAATAGTCTACTTTGCTTCCCCACCCATTCTTAGCAATGTTTTTAAATCTTGTTTGAATTCGATGTCCCTATGATTTAACTGCACATGTGGAAAGAAAAAGAAAATGTCTCTTGCAGGTCATACAGAGGTGTGGAGATTTAAAAAGGTGTTTTACTTAAGGGGATTTGAAAACAAAGTTGACTTCAATGCTTAAGTGAAATAAAATCTCTACTCATGTAACCCCTTGACATCACAAGCCTTCGTTTTTCTCAGTGCTGGTTTTTAATGAACCTTTTAGCATGAGTACTGTGAAACAATTTATTATTTCTCCTTAATGTAAACATCACAGATAGTGTACATCAAATGGACAGTCATGAGGGCTACTTAAAAGCAGAATGGCATAACTGAAATAATGTCCATGCTTTTCTACAATAAAATAAATCCTCATCTCCCAGTATTCCTTGCCTTCAGACTTTCTTAGTGTCTAAATATATTTTTGCCTTTATGTATTTACACTGAGTTTTTACTCTAATTAAACAAGTGCTTTTTGGCTCTCTGCAAAGATGGGAACAAACCCAGTGTGCAGTTTGCTTCAGTTTTCTCCAGTGGCATGTGCTTGGGTTCCTGATGTGGCTGGAATGGTCTGAGCAAGAAGAGTGGAAACTTTCCTAACGGATTTCTAGCCTTGTTGTTAGAATTAGTTATGCTGTTCCGTTTCTAAACAAATCCAGCAAGCAGACTGAAATTCCTGTTTAGCACCTGTCTGATGCATTGTAGCTGCGATGACGATGGCCGTACACAGCACATGCTTTAGCTCATAAATAGAAGTGCACTTTTGTTCTGCCTTCTTTCAAGCAAACCTCCTTTGTGTCTTTAACATCCAGCTATGTTAAGTGCAAAGAAAAGGTTTGGGGCTTTTGGAGTTTTTACAAACAAGCTTATTGAAGAGAAGCTTGATTTTGAAAGGGGAAAATTTAAATATTTTTTTAATTAAAGATCAAAGGAGAGATTTATTCATTTAAAGAGGCCTGTTTGTAGAAGCCATGAGATGGTGGACTATCTTTCTCTCTAGCTTTCAACTTTTAATTATTGTGCTGAAGTGGAGTAAATGTATTGTAACACTAGCAATATCTGTCATACAGAGTCTCTCCACAAGTCTGAGAAACCAGGAGAGTTCAGGACACCTTAAGATCTAACACTTTGTATTTAATTTTGTTGCGGATCTTTAGAGAAAAGTACTAGGTGAAAAATATTATTGCAAGAGGAGGCTTGGAGAGTGGTGTCAGGTTATGTGTGGGAAGCAAAATAGCTTATCAACTCTTTAGCCTCTTCGTTTTATCTAATTCTGTTGATAGAAATATTGTATTTTCTCATTTTAATCAGAAGCCCTGTATGTTTTACTGATGGCTGCTTTTAAAAATATAATGATGAATCTTTATGTTTTAAGTTCTTTTCACAGAAATCTTGGCGCTAGAGAAGACTGTGCTGGTTTAGTCTTAGAAATAACTAAACTTATTTATTTCTATCACATGCAAGCCCAGCCTTTTCAGGGTAGTTTGCAGATGCTGTCTTCACTAATGAGAGGCTGGCTTACTGTTCGTCTGCCTTTCTTGCTTAACATTAAAGAAACCAGTTAAATCAGCAGAACAGTTTTATACATAAAACTTTATTGGTCAGTCTGGCATTGGGCTTGAATAGCCACAGAACAAGAGGAACTTTACTTAACTTATAATGGGTGTATTGTGAATTACGGTGTATCACTGTAACTGTTCTCAGCTGCCTGTACACCAGAGTTGCAATTCAAATAATGAATTAATCCTATTTTTGAGCTAATTAGCACGGTGAGTGAGGTTCCCAAAGTGCAAACTGTTAAGGTTTGATTTGGAAGTGGGGTACCTGGCCAGCTCCCTGATCAACTTCACCTTTTTATGCAGAACAGGGATTGCAGTTGCAGAGCGTCATTCCTAATTTTTGAATACAGTTGCCAGATTGAAGAAAAGTCCTGTCTTCTGTAGAGCCAGAAATCCCATCGAATGAGTCACGTGCTTTTGTTAGTGTGTTTAAAGTTTTCAGTAGATGCTTTGGAAAAACATTTCTGTGTTAGAGTGGATCCTCTCAAGCCACGTATTTATTGGAGTTAACATTGCCTGCTCCTCAGATGAGAAAGACAACCATGCAGGTATCAGTCAGAAGGCTGTTCTTTTCAATTGACTTCTCTATAACTACTCTTACCTGCAAGTGCTGACCATGCTGGTGTACCTCACTGTGCTGAACACTATACAAATGAGATCACATTCTCTACCCAGAGAGCTAGCAGCCCTTTTGCATGACCTGAGGCAGCGGAGTGCTACCAGCGCAGCAGCATCACTCTGTGTGGTCAGTGCTTGTGTGACCACTGAAGCAGCCAGATTGCTGTCAAACTGTTTTAGGCATCATACAGCAAAAAAGAGTCTTAAGGAAATACTTAAAGGGGCGTTTTAATGATTGCTAGGGAAAGCTATGTGTGTGCTTTGTGATTGAAATGGTTGGACAAGCGGCTAATATAGTCAGATTGTTCTAATGGCAATGCCTGACCTAGATTTCATGGATTATTAAAGATGAAAATTAATAGCATGGTTCATCTCAGAAAGGGATATCGGGTAAAAAAGCAAACCAAACCAAAACTCAACCAAAAGAAAAAATTTTCTGCAGAATTTAAAGCAGAATATTTTATCTTTTAGACTGGCCAAAATTTTAAGCCACAATTTTGCGATCAATAAAAAGATTGAACGCTTCCTTCCTTCCTTCCTTTTCTTCCCCCACTCCCCTGACACACTGCCTTGCAGGAATGTGGTTTCACGCCCTTCGTTTCTATCAACTGAATTCCGAAAGGGTAATTTCTTACATAACTCGATTTAGAGTTATGAGCTGTGTAAGTGGGGTGGAAGGGAAGGGCACCATTCTGAAATGTTTAAAAGAGTAAAATCACCTATATTGTTTATGAGGAGATCTTTAAGTAATTTAAATTAAATACTTACTGGAGACATCTGGCTTCCAGTCTTTAAAATAAGGTATTCTGAATTCATCATGATCTTTCCTGAGCTCCTTCAATAGTATCTGAGAAGTCTAGTGCTGAAGTGCTTATATTTCTGGTTTATAAACCTAAGCAGAAAACATAGAAGTAAACCTCTGAAGCCCTTACTAGGCATTATAAAGCTGAAAAAATGAACTGTTTAAACTAAAACTGGTTCTGAAAGCCTAGAAGGACATTTCCTAAATGCACTTAAAATAAAAAATAAAAAATTGGAAAGAACAACTTTCTTTGATTTACACAGCTTAAAATATTAATTTTGAACTGAGGAGCTCTGACAAAACTGTTTCTATTATTAGTTGCCCCCACCTACTCCCAGCACTAGGTTATTATTTGTTGCCTAAGTTCATAGACTGGGTAAAATGAAAGAAACTTTGTTTTACTTTTATAACTTCTACCACTTTCCAGGATAGCCTTGGTGGTAACAGCAAGACTGCCATGGTAGCAACAGTAAGCCCAGCAGCAGACAACTATGATGAGACCCTTTCAACACTGAGGTACGCAGACCGGGCCAAGAACATAGTTAATCATGCCGTGGTGAACGAAGACCCCAACGCTCGCATTATTCGGGAGCTCCGTGAGGAAGTGGAGAAGCTGCGAGAACAGCTCACGAAAGCAGAGGTACCAATTTTAGTCTTGACTAGCCAGTAAGTCCTGTAAACCTCATTGTCAGCACTTTTTTACTTGGATCTCAAAAATGAACACCATGAACAATTACTACGTGGTGTCTATGAGAAATCTCCTTTTATATCACTTCTTCCCATTTTTCTCTATGTCTGTCTGGAAACACAGGGGATAACATGGGATACCAGGTTCTGTTTGAACACCTTGTTGAGCAATCTCGGCTTTATTGCGAAATAAAGATCAGGAGCAAAAGGACATGGAGGCAGGAATAGAGATGAAGTCTTAAGATTTTGCAGTTTATAGGCAGAGCTTTGCTGGTGTATTTTAAGAATTCGATGTGGCTAGATCCTGCGAGATGTGAATTCAGTTAGATAATGCTTGCTTGCTTACAAGCTTTAACTGTTCTAAATTGAATCTCTTACAGGTGCTAGACAATATTATAAATATCTGCACAGCTAACTCAATGAAATTGTGCAAGGAGCATGGTTTAAATGTTAAACAAAGGCCAAGAACTAGCATAATTCTCAGTTCTATTCTCAAATGTGGCAAAGCAATGGTGGTATAATCCGTCTGTTTTGCAATTCAGAAAAATTATGATTACAGTATTTGCCTCCTGAGGTATGCAGGGAATGCTGGCTGTGATATTAGAAATGACTAGTGAATTTTGGACTGTTCTTATTTGAGCTGCCTAATATGCTAAGCATCCAATAAGTATATATCAGTTTCTTTAAGGTATCTCAAGTTAAATTCCTCTAAAAATTCCTCTAAAATATGAACCACAGGCTTAACAGTACTCTGAGAGACGCAAGTACTCCCCGTTTGTTCCGTTTGCAAGCATTAATGCCAAAATAATGGCAGCGTTCCAAAGTAATGAAGTAGTGTTTCCTAAATATGAAGTAATAAATATTTAATTTTCCAAGTATTACAGTCCCACCCTAGTTGTCATCTCAGTGGCATTGATGAAGAGCATGGAAAAAAACGGTGTAGTTGGCTACTAAGAGGCTACACAGTGAGGGTCAAAAACCACATTCTTTGTCTTGTCAGTTTATTACATTTGTAGCCCATCTAATTGTTCTTACAGAAATGTGCATAAACTTTTAAGTGAACAAAAACATTGACCCCTTATGACAGTCAGGTTACGTTTTCAAGCTCGTTTCCAAATATAGAGGTTGCCAAGTTGTAGTTTTGGGTTTTTTTCCTTTTGGTGTCAGTATCCTCTTCTCTCCTAACCAGCCGAACAGAACGTGACAGTTTAGGGTTTTTTTTCTCTCCCCAGAGAGTAAGGCGTTATCTTCTTTTCCCCTTTTCTTTTTTAATCCACACGTTTTGATCTTTTCTTGTCTAAATCAATATCACATGTTTTAATTTGTCTATGCCAAGACCACCAGCTTGTCCTTCCTAAGCTGGGAATTTAAACTAACTCCTTTCAGCAGTCTGCTAGTCTGGTATGAAGCTGGTCCCATATATCTGTTGGTTTTCTAGGCGTTGCAGGGAGTGAGAAGAATTACCTACCTCATTTTACAGTGAAGCATGTGAAAACATTGAGGAATTTTGCCCCAGGTCCAAATAAATTGACAAAGAAGACTTAGGCATTGAGAGTAACTGGGGTTCATCTTCATGTTCTGCTCTGTAGTGTCCAGTGCCTTTGCACTGATCATGTTTTATCAATCTTAATAGGTCTGTTCTGGAGGTTGCCTTGGCTTCATTTTTCTTCCTGGCTGGAATTCGTGTTCCCTTCTAGCCTGTGTTTAGATATTTGAGATATTCAACCAGAAAAAGACTACATGGAACGCATCAACTTGACAGTTCCTAGACTGTTGTGTCTTGAGACAGAGGAAACTCCTGTCTTAAAACAGGATTTTCCACTCCTGGCATTTGCTTCTTTTCTTGAACGAGCTGCAGTGTAATGAGGCCATTCTGTTTGATTTGGTTCCCGATGAGAACTTTTGGGTTTTGTGGTAAGGAAGTATCTGATGAAGAACGATGCTTGCATTGTTTAATTGGTATTGCATAAGTACCTACCAGCCAAAAATATTTTTGTCTTGTTAGCAGTAACGAAATAACGACATAACGAAGTCCACAGGCTTCCTATTCAAGATAGTATGGGAGGAATATGCCAGTACCGAGACTGGAGGAAGTAAATATATGTAGTATAAAAATGCTGATGATGTTTCAGTTTTTGGAGTGTCTGATGGGTGGCTGTGAGGGTATCTTCTTATTCTTATCCCTTGAATGAAATGTGGGTCTTTGATTATTTTACAAAAAAAAAATCAGAGCTGTGATGGTTTAGCAAGGAAATTGAATTCCAGTGTCCAGAAGCACATCGTAAGGCTTCTTTTGATATCCACTCTGTAAAATTCCTATATAGAGGTGCACAACCAGGACACCTTGGATGCCTTGATCTTTGTTATGGAATGAAAAAATCACACCCATCAGACCATATGAAAATGAACAATAAAAATATTTTGATGGCGTGGCAGTTTATGTGACTGAGCTGTTAAGTGCCAGCTTCCTGGAATGCATTGATGATAACTTCCTTCTCCAAGTGGTAGAGGAACCAACGAGGAGAGGTGCTTTGCTGGACCTTGTTCTCACCAACAAAGAGGGGCTGGTGGGGAACGTGATGCTCAAGGGCAGCCTTGGCTGCAGTGGCCATGAAATCATGGAGTTCAAGATTCTTAGGGAGGCAAGGAGGGTGCTCAGCAAGCTCACTACCCTGGATTTCAGGAGAGCAGACTTCGGCCTCTTCAGGGATCTCCTTGGTAGAGTACAATGGGGTGAAGCCCTGGAGGGAAGAGAGGCTCAAGAATGCTGGATAACATTCAAGGATCACCTCCTCCAAGCTCAGGAGCAGTGCATCCCAACAAAGATGAAGTCAGGTAGGAACACCAGGAGGCCTGCATGGATGAACAAGTTGCTCCTGGACCAACTAGGACACAAAAAGAAGGCCTACAGAGGATGGAAGCAAGGACAGGTAGCCTGGGAAGAATACAGAGAAATTGCCCGAGCAACCAGAGATCAGGTTAGGAACGCTAAAGCCCTGATAGAGTTACATCTGGCCAGGGACATCAAGGACAACAAGAAAAACTTCTATAGATATGTCAGTGATAAAAAGAGATCTAGGGAGAATGTAGGCCCTCTCCGGAAGGAAACGGGAGACCTGGCTACCTGGGATATGGAGAAGGCTGAGGTTCTCAATGACTTCTTTGCCTCAGTCTTCACTGGCAGGAGCTCCAGTGGCACAGCCCAAGTTACAGAAGGCGAAGGCAGGGACTGGGAGAATGAAGAACCGCCCACTGTAGGAGATCAGGTCCGAGACCATCTTAAGAACCTGAAGGTGGACAAGTCCATGGG